AGAGATGGGGGCATGGAGAGGGGGAGCGGCTGAGGACTCTAGATTCATCAACTAAGAAGAGAAGGACTAAGAGCTGGTGGCCAGGAGCAGAGTTGCAGAATGTGCCCTTTGGAGATGTAATTTATTATATAGGCCTGAGTGGGTTTTTTTGTTTGTTTGTTTGTGTGTTTTTTTAAAAAAAAAGCTAAAGTGGATAAAGAGAAATACTTTAACTGATGGTATATGGAGGAGATTATAATCAATATAATGAAACAAGTTATATGAATTGTTAAATGTGAAACTGATGATATGCCCTGTAAATGTTCACTCAATCCACAATAAAATCCTTAAATTAAAAAAAAAAAAAAAAGGAATTTTCCCACAAACTTTGTGAAGTCACCTTGTTTGTAAACTACTGATGACTGATACCATTTCACAACTAAAAACTGCATAGTATCTAGAAAGGTACCATGGAGAAAAGCAAGGGCTGTCTGGATCAAACTGCCATCTTTATTGTTAAGTGCTGTTGTGTCGGTTCCAATTCATAGCAACCCTGTATAGGCTTTAACTCTTCATGGGAGCAGAAAGCTTCATCTTTCTCCCGTGTGTCACCTGTTACCAGCTCATTATGTTGTTCCTGTTGTTGGGAGTCAGGAAGCCCATTTATGATCCAGCATGACCTCACGTGCTGCCTCACTGAGTTGTTGAGGCTACAATCTTGGTAGAGGAGTCCTGGTGTAGCGCTCTAGGATAAGCACTGGACTACAACATCGGCAGTTCAAAACTCACCAACTGCTGATGTTGTGGTCCAGCACTTTTCCTACACAGGGTCGCTATGAGTTGGAACTGACTCGAATGCACTTAAAGCAACAATAACAATTTTTATAGAAGCAGATCTCCACGTATTTCTTCCATGGAGCCACTACATAGGTTTGAACGGCCAGCCTTTTGATTAGCAGCCAAGCACTTAACCATTGCACTACCAGGGCTCCTTCATCTCATTTTACCTTAAAAATTAAAAAAGAATCTAAGAACATATTCATATCACCCACATCTTTTAAAACTAAAGGAAATCAGGCTCAAAGGAAGCCCTGATTTCTGGAGTCTCACATTCCATTGTGAGGTGGTGGTGAACAGCGGGTCAGGCATCAAGACGGGCACTGGGGGAGACACACGAGGAAGTGCAGATACTGGAAAGTCCAGACAGCTCACTAAGTAGTTGTCACCTCCCATTCTCAAAAGGCACCCTCACCAATCCCAGTCCTTTGATCCAGAGCCTGAGACAGAAGTAGGGACCACACACTGGGGAGCGCCCCTGGGTATGATGGGTAACCAGCCCCCCTCAGCTGTCCTCTACATGCCCTGGACTGAGCCTCTGCTCACACCTGCCCACCTGTCTCTAGGGTCACACTCAGATCTTCTCTTCTTACCAGAGAGCTGGCCCTCCTTGTGAAACTGAATGAGAAATAGGCCAAAATAGCCCAAGAGCTCCGGACACAGTCCAATTCTGTGTGACACTACCTTTAACCAGAAGCAAGAAAAAAAGATGACAAAATTAGGAACGTCCACCATGCTTACTAGCTGTGAAATACAAAATTTGACATTGTCTTTAAACATCAATAAACAGTGTTTCGATCAACTAGAAAAAGAAATCTTTTCTGAATCTGAAAATAGCACCACTTCATTTTAGAACATATATAAATCCAAAACAACGAGAATGAAAGAAATAAAAATCTGTCACACCTTAATGGACATGAACCAGTCTCAGTTGAGGCTGGCTGTCCCATCTTGATGTGGACTGCCTGAGCCTCTGATCACTTTGGTCTCTATTGTCCACTGGAGGGCAGCAGTGATTCCCCACGAACACCTATCTGCGGTAACTAAAGTGAGGTCCCACACCAATTAACCAGATTTCAGAAAAGAAAGGTCAGGTGCTTCTGCCCCTCTGCTTGGCTGGCACCCACAAGGGTACTGCCTGGCTTTGACACCCCGGGGCCACATCACTTTGATGATCCCTGTGATGGTCAAATCTAATTTGTTGTTGTTAGCTGCCATCAAGTCAGCTCTGGCCTCATGGTGACCCACCCACAATGGAACAAAATGTTGCTAAGTCCTATAACTGTCATGATCCACCAGGTTTTCACTGACTGGTTTTTGGAAGCAGATTACCAGGCCTTTCTTCCTAGAGTTAGTCTGTAAGTTCCACTGAAACCTATTCAGCATCATAGAAATGCCAAACCTCCGTGGACAGACAGGTGGCAGTGGTACATGAACCTGGGTCTCCCACACGGAAGGTAAGAATGCTATCACCAACAACTTCAAGTCTAATTTACTATGGTGTCTTCTCTCAGAAAATCTTAAATCCCAGGTGTGAGCTGCCCCCATTTCACAGTCTCCTCTGATCTTTACATCATTTTCATACCAATGGCTTCATTTTTACCAAAATGTCATCGGGCTGTCATTCCCTAGTTTACACCTGTTTAACAGGAACTTTCCACAGTGTCTGCTGGTGCTGTGGGTGAGGCATTGTGCTGCTAATCAAAGGTCAGCAGTTCAAACCCACCAGCTGTTCCACAGGAAAAAGACAAGGCTGTCTGCTCCCATAAAGATTCACAGTCTTGGAAAACTGATATAGGGTTACTGGCAGTTGGAATGGATTCAGTGGGAATGGTTTTGGGGTTTTTCATATCTTTATCAGCCTCAGCCTTCTTTAAAATTCATAAACAATTTCTTTGCATTCTTGGTCTTAATTCCCTAAATCACCTCTGCAACATGGAAGGATTTTCTTTTTTAGTTTTATTGTGGTAAAATACATAAAGCAAAATATTTGTCAATTTAGCAGTTTTTAAGTGTGCAATTCAGTGATATTGATTATATTCACCATGTTGTACAATTTTCACCACTATTTCCAAATGTTTTTCATCACCTCAAGCAGAGAGATTCAGTACCTCTTCAGATACTATTCCCTCACTTTCCTCTCAGACACTGGTAACTACTAATACATTTGTGTGTCTGTGCACTTGCCTGTTTCAGATATTTAATCTACGTGAAGTGAATTCACTTTTATAGCTCTGTACATGAGCTGGTGCTTTAACTGTGAGCCCACGTTCTTGAGGTAGCAACTATACCAACACCAGGGACAGAAAGGATACTTTTCCTGTCAGAGATTTGTGAATTTCCTTATGAGATAGTCTTATTCGCTGGATGCATGAGTATAGCCTTGAAAATACATAATAGCATACAAATATTTTCACAACTTTTATTCAACATTCATTTCCACTTTACTTAATTCTGTCTTGCTCTTTTCAAAACAAAACAAAACAAAAACCGCAAAGCAAGACTCTTCTGCTGGTTAGGGGTGCTGCCATGGTGACTATGTGCTAGGTTGTTGTTGTTAAGTGCCGTCAAGTCGATTCCGACCCACAGTGACCCTGTATAGGGTTTCCTAGGAGTGACTAGTGAGCTTGAACCGCCAGCCTTGTGGTTCAAACCGACTTTGTAGTCCAGCGCATTAACCCACAACACCACACCAGGGCTCCATATGAGCATTAGTATATTTAAAAAATGAAGAGGTTTTATCTTGTTACTGATCCTTAGTTGTTATTATGTATCATCGAGTCAGTTCCAACCCACAATGACCCTGTATAGGGTTTCCAAGAAGTGGCTGGTGAGTTTGAACTGCAGACATTGTGGATCAAACCGCCTTTGCAGTCCAGCACATTAACCTACAGTGCCACACCAGGACTCCGTTGATCTATTAAAAAATAAAAGATAGGCTGGGGTGGGGCAGGGAGAGAGAAGCAGAGGTCAGATACCATAAACTGAGCACAAGAGAGAACCTTCTTCCCTTTGAAAGGTTCTAGAAATGCTCTGACTTCCTCTGGTTTAGAGCTTTTTATTCCCACTGGTGTGTTTCTCTGGAGGATTAGAACTAGAACTCTCTAAAGGAAAATTCCTGTGAACTGGCCTTTGGGAGCAGTTATGTCAGTGTGAGAAGACAGCCAGGGAACACGCTGAGAGGCAGAGCAGGGCAGGGCCATATCTGAAGAAGAATGGGAAGATGCTCTGTGCTCTCATCCTTGGAGTCCTCAGAGAACTGAAGTCTGGTCCTCTGGGCCCTGTGACAGGAATTAGACTGATAGGAATGCTACTTTCAGGGGTGTTCCCTGTGGGGGAAGAGGGAAAACCCTTCCAGCTTTTGTGATATGTACCTTATTCTCTTTCAGAACCTGTTCCAAGTCTACCCACTGGGGCCTGCTTCGAACTCAGCTGGCTCGGCCTTCCTTCCTGGTCCCCACCAAGGATCAAAGCATTTTGCATATGTTCAGGGTACAACGCAGGCTGAGGTCCAAGGAAGTAACAAAAGCCCTTGGAAAGACATAAGAACCCTTCAAAAAGTTGATGCCTGTCAAGGGAATAAAACCAAAGAAGTCCTAGAGGATTGGTTGTATCTCAGATTCCTCAGTCAGTCTCCCAGAATATTCTGGCATCTCTAGGCAAGTCACCCAGACAGTAAAATGGCAGGCAGGAAGCATCTAGAAGGTAAGCATGTCTTAGAGCCCCACTCTTGAGTGGAATTATTCCTAAATTCAGTTCTGGAGCTGATGTTTAAAGTTTACCTCTAAGACTCTTTCAGCAGTATCTGACGTTAGAATTTCGATGTTAATCCTCTTTCCACCAGGCAGAAATATATCCAGAGAGGTCTTCTTGGCAGTGAGGTTAAATGTACTCTGTAAACAAAAGGGAAACAATAAGCTCCCGCACCTGGTTGCCAGGAACGAGGACCCAAAGGTACACAGAGCCAGGTGCACATATGCGAGCTATTGTTGTGGTGTGCCATTGAGTTGGTTCCAGCTCATAGCGACCCTATATAGGGTTTCTGAGGACCGTCTGGTGGATTTGAACTGCTAGCTTTGCAGCTAGCAATTCAGAATTTATTCTACAGTACCACACTGGAACTCTGCAGTGATATGAGAGAGGGGGATTATCTCAGGGGCTGGGATGTGGGTCTGAAGAATTGCAGAGAAGGACCAAAGCAAAGCAATGGCATGAAGCTGGAATTATTTCCATAAAAACAGCATGGAATCCATTTTAGGGAGTAAAAAAGGCACTGGATAAAAATCATTTGCATGACCCAGGTAGAATTAGACTTCATTAGCTCTCCTAGTTTTGACCATGTCCAAGCATCTTCAGAAGTTCAGGATATGCAGTAATTCGTGATTTTGTTCCAGCAAAAAATCTGAACTGCACAAATGAAATAATTTGAACTGCAAAATAAAGAAATGAAGGGAACATAAATCCCCAGTCCTTAAGTGTGGGCTGTATATGGTAACTTCCTTCCCAAGAGTACAGTATGGAAAGGATAAAAGAAAGAGTAATTTTCCAGGGGAAAACCCCGACAAACTCCCACAGCCAGGTGAGGTCAACACTGCTGTTGCTAACAGTGATAAAAAAAGGTTGACACTGTTGTTACTATTGTTGCCAAATGTCATTGAGCCTGTTCTGATTCATAGTGACCCTGAATAGGGTTTCTAAGGCTATTAAACGTTACAGGAGCAGAAAGCCTCATCATTCTCTCACACAGAGGCTGGTGGACTCGAACTGCTGACTTTGCTGTTAGCAGACCAACTTGTAAGCCAATACACTACCAGAGCTCTTCACAGTCAACATTGTTGCTGCTGTTGTTAGGTGCATTGAGTCGATTCCAAAGCATAACAACCTTATGCACAACAGAATGAAATAGTGTCCTGTCCTGCACCAGGCTCATAATCGGTGTTACGTTTGAACACATTTCTGCTAATTTGGGTCAATCTATCTCTTTAGGGGTCTTCCTTTTTTTCGCAGACCCTCCACTTTACCAAGCATGATATTCTCCTCTGGGGTCTGGTCTCTCCTGATATGTCCTAAGTTGTTGTTGTTGTTGTTGTTGTTAGGTGCATCGAGTCGGTACTGATTCATAGCAACCCTATGTACAACAGAACAAACACTGCCCGGTCCTGGGCCAACCTCACAATTGTTGCCACGCTTGAGTCCATTGATGCTGCCACTTGGCCAATCCATCTCGCTAGGGGTCTTCCTCTTTTTCTCTGACCCTCCACCTTACCAAACATGATATCCTTCTCCAGCGACTGGTCCCTCCGATAATATGTCCAAAGTATGAGAGACGAAGTTTGGTCATCCTGGCCTCCAAGGAGCACTCTGGCTGCACTCCTTCCAATACGGATCTATTGGTTCTTTTGGCAGCCCATGACAATTTGAATATTCTCCTGCAACACCATAACTCAAAAGTATCAATTCTTCTACAGTCTTCCTTATTCATTGTCCAGCTTTCTCATGCATATGAGGTTATTGAAAATACCATGGCTTGAGTCAGGCCCACCTTAGTCCTCAAACTGACATCTTTGCTCTTCAACACTTTAAAAAGGTCTTGTGCAGCACATTTGCCTAATGCGATATGTCGTCTGATCTCTTGACTGCTGCTTCCATGATGGTTGATCCAAGAAGAATGAAGTCCTTGACAACTTCAATCTTTTCTCCGTTTATAAGAATGTTATTGGTCCAGTGGTGAGGATTTTTGTTTGCTTTACATTGAGATGCAATCCATGTCCTAAGTACGAAAGATTAAATTCTCAAAATCCTGACATCTAAGGAGCATTGTGGTTGTTCTTCTTCCATGACAGATTTGCTAGTTCTTCCAGCAGTCTATGGCACTTTTAATGTTTTTCTCTAACACCGTAACTCGGTCTACAATCTTCTTTATTTATTGTCCTACTTTCACATGCATATGAAGCTATTGAAAATACCTTGACTTGGGTCAGGAGCACCTTAGTCCTCAAACTGACATCCTTGAACAGGTCTTGTGTAGCAAATTTGCCTAATGCAATAAATACGTAATTTCATTTCTTGACTGCTCTTCCATGTGTGATTTTGGATGACAGCAAAATGCCGTCTTTGACAAATTCAATCTTTTCTCCACTTATCATGATGTTATTTATTGGTCCAGTTGTGAGGATTTTTGTTTTCTTTATTTTGCGGTGCAACCCATATTTAAGGCTGTGGTCTTTGATCTTCATCAGTAAATATTTTAAGTCCTCTTCGCTTTCAGCAAACCTATCACCTGCATATTGTAGTTTGTTAATGTGTGTTTTTCCAATCCTGATGCCTGATGCCATAATCCAGCTTCTCTTATTATTTGCTCAACAAACAGATTGAATAATTATGGTGAAAGAATACAACCCTGGAGGGCATCATTCTTAATTTAAACCATTCAGTGTTCCCTTGTTGTATTTGAACAACTGTATCTTGGTATACACCAAGAATGGGAAACATTGTGAAAAATGGCCATTCCAGAACACTTAACTGTGTTCATGAGGAACCTGTACATAGTACATAGTACAGGTTCTTCATAAGCACAATTAAATGTTCTGGGATGCCCATTCTTCAAAATGTTGTCCATAGTTTGTCATGATGCACACAGTCAAAAACCTTTGCTTAGTCAATAAAGCACAAATAAACATCTCTCTGATATTTTCTGCTTTCAGCCAAGATCCATCTTGATTATCAATCTTGGATATCCATCAGCAATGATATCCCTTATTCCATATCTTGAACCTCTGGCAGTTCTATGTCAACGTACTGTTGCAGTCATTTTTAAATGATCTTTAGCAAAATTTTACTTGCATGTGATATTAATGATATTGTCTTATGATTTCCACTTCCATTGGATCACCTCTCATTGGAATGGGCACAAACATGTATCTATTCCAACCAGTTGGTCAGGTAACTGTCTTGGCATAAATGAGTGAGTGCCTCCAGTACTGCAAAAGTTTGCTGAAAGATTTCAACTTGTATCCCATCAATTCCCAAAGCCTTGTTCTTTGTCAATGCCTTTAGGGGACCTTGGACTTCTTCCTTCAGTACCATTGGTTCTTGATTATAGACCATTTCTTTTGTGTACAGTGACTCTGTGTATACGTTCCATCTTCTTTTGATGATTTCTGCATCATTAAATATTTTGCCCATAGAAACCTTGAGTATTATAAGTTGACACTTGAGATTTTTCTTCTGTTACTTCAGCAAGAAAAATGTCAAGCGTGTTCTTTCCTTTTGACTTTCTAATTCCAGATCTTTGCACATTTCATTACAATATTTGACTATGTCTTCTTGAGCTGCTCTTTGAAATTTTCTGTTCTGCTATTTTACCTCCTTATTTCTTCTACACTGAAGAGCAAGTGTCAGAATCTTCTGACATTAATTTAGGTATTTTTCTTCTTTCTCATGTACTTAATGATCTTTTCTTTCTTCCTGTATGATGTTCTAGATGCCATCCCACAACTCCTCTAGTCTTTGGTCTTCAGTGTCTAATGCAGCAAACCTGCTCTTGAGATGATCTCTAAATTCAGGCGGGGTATGTTCAAAGCCATATTTTGAATCTCATGGACTTGGTTTCATTTTCTTCCATTTCAGCTTGAACTTGCATATGAGCAATTGATGGTCTGTTCCATAGTCTTTCCCAGCCTTGTTTTGGCTGATGATATGGAGCTTTCCCACCATCTCTTTCCACAGATGTAGTCAGTGTGATTTCTGTGTATTCCATCTGGTGAGGTCTTTTATGTTGCTTAAAAAGGTATTTGCAATGAAGAAGTCATTGGTCTTGCAAAATTCTACCATGTGATCTCCTACATCATTTCTGTCACCACGGCCATATTTTCCAATGGTCAACATTAGTGATAAATCATTGTTGACACTGTTGTTGGTCAACATTAGTGATAAATCATTGTTGACACTGTTGTTGTTAAGTGCCATCCAGTTAGTTCCAACTCATAGTGACCCTGTGTAGGGCTTCTGAGGAACGGCTAGTGGGCTTTACTGCTGACCTTGCATGTAGCAGCAGTCCAGTACTTATCCTGCATCACCACACCAGGACTCTATGTGGGGCTGCAGGACACCTGGATATGACGTTATGGCAATAGCACTTTACCTCTATGGTTTCCGCCCCCAAACCCATAACACCAATCTAATCATAAGGAAAACATTAGCTGTATTCCAGGATAGGACCTGCCTACAACATACCTGACCTGTACTCCCCAAACCATCACACTCATAAAAACAAGGAATGTTTTTGATACTGTTGCAGCCAAGAGGAGCTAAAGAAGCATCACAACAAAATGTAATGATCCTAAATCAGAAAACGGCATTAGGTAAAAACTAAGGCAATATGAATTAAGTTGTTGTTGTTAAGTGCTGCCAAGTCAGTTAAGACTCACAGCAACCTTGTATAGAATTTCCGAGTCTGTAAATCTTTGTGAGAGCAGAAAGTTTCATCCTTCTCCCTTGGAGTGGCTAGTGGGTTTGAACCGCTAACCTTGTGTTTCAGAGTTTAGTTTTCATAGACTTTAATCAATAAAACAAAACAACAAATAAACCCGTTGCCTTTGATTCTGACTCATGGCAACCCCATGTATTACACAGTGGAACTGAGCTCTAAGTTCTCCAAGGGTTTCTCCAAGGCTTCGATCAGAAGCAGGTCAACAGCCTGTCAGCCACAGAATCACTAGGTGGATTCAAACTGCCAGCCTTTTGGTTATGAGCCAAAAGCAAGCCATTTGTGCCACCCAGGAACCAGATTAGTTCATCAATTGTGGCCACACAATGTCAGATGGTAATCACAGGGAAGAGTCGGGCAAATGGGAGCACTGTACTATGGTCACAATTCTGCCACTGATCTAAA